CTGCTGAGTTTATTTCCAGTCTTGGAGCCCAGCTGGGGGGGTGGGGTCGATCAGTTATAAATAGTTTGGGGTGGGAGAGAACATGTATAGGAGATAATTCATAGGCAGATGAACCTTGCCCCCCCTGCAAATATTTCCCCTGGCCCCATATTTGTGTCACAAGCTAAACACTGGGGAGCGGGGTTTGCAGTGGACACAAAAATTGATTGGCTCTTTCCTCTATAATCTTGTTGTTGTTTGTTCGTATAGTTACTGGGTTGGATCCCATGGTAAATATACCCTAGTGGAGGGTGTATGATTTTCACCAAATCCTCCCTCTTGCTGCAGACCTCCATAAGAACATATGAGAAGCCATGTTGGATCAGGCCAATGGCCCATCTTGTCAGGCCCTCCCACTGTGGCCCTCCAAGCACCAAGAATACAGAGCATCACTGCCCTAGACATAGTGTTCTCTGTATACCTTGTGACTAATAGCCACTGATGGACCTCTGTTCCATATATTTATCCAATCCCCTCTTGAAGCTGTCTATGCTTGTAGCTGCCACAAGTTCCCTTGGCAGTGAATTTTATGTGTTGATTACTCTTTGGATGAAGAGATACTTCCTTTTATGTGTTCTAAACCTACTGCTCATCAGTTTCATAGAGTGCCCACAATTTATTGTATTGTGAGAAAGGGAAAAAAGTACTTCTTTCTCTGCCATCTCTATCCCAGGCATAATTTTGTAAACCAATATGATGTCACACCTCAGTTGTTGTTTCTCCAAGCCAAAAAGCCCTAACCTCTTTAACCTTTCTTCATAGGGAAAGTGTTCCATCTCAATAATTTTAGTTTTCCTTTTTTGCACCTTTTCCAATGCTATAATATCTTTTTTGAGGTGTGGTGACCGGAACTGTAAACAGTATTCCAAATGAGGCTGCACCATTGATTTATACAGGGGCATTATGATACTGGCTGATTTGTTTTCAATTCCCTTCCTAATAAACCCCAGCATAGCATTTGCCTTTTTTTATTGCAGTCACACACTGAGTCAACATTTTCATGAGTTATCTACTGTGACTTCAAGATCTCCCTCCTGGTCAGTTACTGCCAATTCAGACCCCATCACCGTGTATTTATAGCTGGGATTTTTGGGTCCAATGTGCATAACTTTATGCTGCCCATGTTGAACCTTATTTGCCACATTGATGCCCACTCATCCAGCCTCAACAGATCCCTCTGGAGCACCTCACAGTCCTCCCTGGTTTTGCCCACCCTGAAGAACTTAGTATCATCTGCAAACTTAGCCACTTCACGGCTTACTCCCAACTCCAGATCATTAATGAACAAGTTAAAAGCACCAAACCTAGCACGGAGCCCTGTGGTACCCCACTGCTTACCACCTTCCACTGTGAAAAGTGCCCATTTAGACTCACTCTCTGTTTCCTGTTAATTAACCAGTTTTTAATCCACAAGAGAACGTGTCCTCTTATCCCATGACTGCTGAGTTTACTTAGGAGCCTTTGATGAGGAACTTTATCAAAAGCTTTCTGAAAGTCTAGGTAAACAACATCTATTGGGTCACCTTTGTCCACATGTTTGTTCACCCCCTCAAAGAACATCTCTCACCAGGTCTTGGGTATTATTTAGGATCAAGTCCAGGATCGCCTCCCCCTGGCAGGCTCAGTAGCCACCTGCTCCAAGGCATGATCTAGAAACCTATTCTCTTGCTCCCGACATGTACAAATTGACCTATTACAACACAATTATTTTGTCTCGCTGCTTTCCTTAATTCTTTTGCTGTTTTTAAATTGTCCTCTAACCTTTGATCTGGTGGGCAATAACAAACTCCCAGAGTTAAGCTTTCTTTTGGGCACACTATTTCCATTACAGCATTTCTGTAAGTGAATCTATTTCTCTTACATTTTCAGTCTTACTGGACTGTATACCTTCTCTGACATACAGAGCCGCTCCACCTCCAACTCTTCCCTCCCTATCCTTCTGATATAATTTATATCGAGGAATCACTGAATTCCATTGGTTACCATCATCCCACGAAGTTTCTGAAATGCCCACACAGGATGCCTGGGAGCAATGGTGGTGGTGGTGGATTAGGTAAAGGTTCCCTTGCTCGAAAGCCAGTCAAGTCCGACTCTAGGGTTGCAGTGCTCATCTCTGTTTCAAAACCGAAGAGCCAGCGCTGTCCGAAGACGTTTCCGTGGTCATGTGGCCGGCATGACTAAACACCAAGGCGCACGGAACGCTGTTACCTTCCCACCAAAGTGGTAGCTATTTATCTACTTGCAATTTCTTGCTTTCGAACTGCTAGGTTGGCAGGAGCTGGAACTAGAGATGGGAGCTCACTCCATCATGCGGCAACTCGGGTCTCGAACTGCTGAACTACTGACCTTCCACAGCCGGCAGTTCAGCGTTGATGGTTAATGCTAATTTTTCAGGATCTTCAACTCTTCTGCTACTGCCAGGCTGAAAAAGACCCAACATGTTAATGGTTCACTAAGCTTGTTTTTCTTCTATGCTTCTCTTAAAAGAGGGGGGAAAGACACCAAGCCTCCTCTGCACTATTTATGTGGATTTGTTTGTGGGAAGTCTGCTTTCACTACTAGGGACATGTAGTTCTTGGACCATGTAACTTTTCTCATGTTTGCAGACTTAATTTGAAACAAGAATCAGTTTCTGAATGCCAGGTACAAGGACAGTTGAGCCCTGGGATATGTCTGATCCTGTGCAAAGTATCTTTCTCTCACCGCTGTAACCATAGCTGGCATAACAACACACGTCTGGTGCAAGAGATGAAAATGCTCATATAAACCCAGAGTGACAACCCATTATGGAAAATATATGGATGTGTGTGGTTAACATAACCTTTCTGCAAGAAGAATAAAAAGGCAGCTACTTCTCCATGATATATAGAGCAAAGATATATAGTGATGCAAGTACAGTGTAGTTCTATTAACTCAGACAGGAAGTCATTCACGAGCACATTAAATTGCTGTTTAAAATGTTTTAAGCAGCAACACTTGAAGCCATCAGACCTTTGGTCCAGCAAGGTCAGTAAGGTCCGCTCTGATTTGTAGCAACTCCTCAGAGTGTCAGGTCAAGGTCTTCCACATCACCTACTACCTGATCCTTTTGACTGGTGATGCCAGAGATAGAACCTGAGACCTGATTCAAAAGCAGATGCTCTGCCACTCATCACAAAGACAAACTATCAACAGTTGTTCAAAATACTGCCCTGTAATAAGGACCCTCTGCTCCTTGTGCTATGCATCCTCTCCATTAGTACAGATTGGTCCGGCCATCATGGAGACAGCTCTCTCTGTCTCAGGTATTTGAGTCTCTTGGAAACCTTCTGCAGAAATGAAGGGCTGTAATCTTCCCTTTTGTGTGTTGGAGGCCTCCCAAGCAATGTGTCTGAACTGGTCAAGTTATTTGGTTGTGGAGCCAGAAGGAGCTGTTACCTCTTCCTTCCTGGAATGTTATTGATAATAGTTCTTCAGAGGCCTCTGCAACATCTGAGAGCTTCACAGTGATTAACGCACACCATCTGACCCTTTCCAGTCTCTGGAGGCCAGAGGCCATATGGATCATTGTCTCCATTGTACTGATGGCATACCCAGTGGAAGCGATTGTGGTAGGTCATGTGGGAAATTAGCACAGAGCCATTTAACATCTTCTGTCTCTTTTGACAGCTCCCTTGCAGACTACTTTCCCTCCTGTGATGTGCAATTCAAAATTATCATGCATACCATTCCCATAATAAAAGGCTTACTCAAATGCTGTAGATCCAGGTGGGTAGCCATGTTGGTCTGAAGCACTAGAACAAAGTCTGAGTCCAGCGGCACATTTAAGATCAACTTTGTTAATCTTAAAGGTGCCACTGGACTCAAACTTTGTTCAAATGTGCTTTCCCAATGTAATTCATAATGATGGCTGTTGTGCAGGCAGTGCCCCCAGCTGTTCATGCAAAGGAATTACTTTGTGGCACATGAGGTTTGTCTGCATTATAAATGCTTCTCTTCCCCGGCCTAGCACAATGATGTGATGTCATTGTGGCATGCGCTATGCGCATGTGTGCAAAACTCCCAGACCAGAAGCCTCTCGCCCCTGCTAAAAAAGGTAAGGACCTGGCAGCCCTACACCTGACCTGCATGAATCACCCAGGCCTAGCTGCCTGTTACTGTTCAACAGCAGCCAACTCATGAAAACTAGTGTGGTATAGTGGTTAGTGTTTTGGACTAGGATCTGGGATACCCAGGTTCAAATCCCCGTTCTGACATGGAAGCTCACTGAGTGTTCTAGGCCCAGTTGCACATTCTCAGACTAACCTACCTCACACGGCTGTTGTAAGGATAAAATGCAGAAGAGGAGAATGTTGTAAACTGCTTTGGATCCCCATTGTGGGGAAAGGTGAGGTATAAATGAAGTAAATAATATAACTGAAGGTGGGTTGGTCATGGGTGGGAAGGAGAAAAGGAAGCAGAGAAAGTGAAGATGTGGTGGCTGCCAGTAGGAGGAAAAGAAGAAGTAGCATGGAGAAGGGGATACAAGGGAAATTGAGGTGCCTCTCACAAGTCCTTGCAGGTTCCTCAGTATGAAACTGGGCCCGATCCAGCAGCCATCACCAAGCAATTGAACTTGTCCCAACCAAGTGGTTGGAACCGCACAGTTTTTGCATGGAGAGATTGTCGAGGAGAGGAGGGAAAGCTGCAGACAGAGGGTAGATAAAGGTACATTGGCTGGTGGATGGGAGTGAGAGAAGAAACAAGAAAAGAGGAGAGGCTATGGGGGATTCAGGGAAGGGATCGCTATGAGTGGCCCCTTGGTGGCCCTTGTAAGAGCAGAAGGATGGAATATAAATTTGGTAAAAATACAAACTTTGTAAAATAAATAATATTTAAAAAATAAATCAGCTGCGACTTGACAACGCTTTCCACCACCAATGCTTACATATGCTATCTTGGTATATGTGGGTATTTAGTTAAAGAAAACATTGGTTATGTGTTCGTCTAAAGCCCTTTAACGAAAATTATGCTCTGAAAAAGCTCCCTTGGGTTCTATTCCCTTAGTACTAATTATCTCAGAGCAATAAAACTTAGGCATTTTGGCAGGCAATAATAGCAGAAAACCGAGAAAATCAGCCACATACTATTTCATTATTTTTCTGTTTGTTTTCTTTCAGGTGGCCTCCTCATTCCACAACCCTCACCCTCCTTCCATTGTTTGGTGATCTTGTTTTGTCATAAGTCCTTCTGTCACATTAGGATTTACTCTCTTTGCAACTGCAGTTATTTCTCAAAGTGTCCATTAGTGGGTAGATTCAGGTTAGAGTGGCTGGTAATTGTTTTCTCTATTCATTTTATAGATATTAATGAATGTCTGATACTTGGCATTTGTAAAGATGCAGAATGTGTGAACACCCGGGGAAGCTTCCTCTGCACTTGCAAATCTGGCACTATGTTGGATCCATCCCGCAGTCATTGTATCTGTAAGTGCTAAATGATAACCAAGGATAATTTCCCTTTCCTTGTGCATCCTTTTGTAGACATCTAGTATTGGATCCAGGGCAAACTTTTCACTTGCACACATACACACAAGAAAAAGGCCATGGTGGCTGCTTATATTAAGTTAGACTTCTTGTATCCCCCCTTGTGGTTCCATTTGTGCAAAAGTTTATGCGACCAATTTCTGGGCACTGTATTATATAAGATCTTATACAAGTGGAACTGCACTAAGTTAATGTTTCTGGTTGCATATCAGTTGATCCAAGCCCTAGTTTTTCCATACCAATTATTTTGTTAGTTCGTAGGGAGTAACATGGATATGATTACTGGAATGGAGGACAGGAAAGAGGTTTTCTAGGTTTGCCAACTGCAGGTCAGGAAATTCCTGAAGATTTTGGGGGTGGAGACTGGTGAGGGAGGAACCCCAGCGTTATATAATGCCATAGACACCACCCTCTGACACAGCCACTTAATCCATGGGAACTCCCCTCTGTAACATGGATATCAGTTGAAATTCCAGGAAATCTCCAGGCCCCACCTGGAGATTGGCAGTTCTAAGGTTTTCTCTTTTAATTGTGCCCATAATATTAGTGGCAGTCAGACCATCAGGTACACTTTGGTCAAGAGACAGCCTAATTTGTAAATTTGTTTGCCCTTGTGGTCTGAAAATAGATCTTCCAGGCTTAATTTGTAAGTTTGTTTTCCCTTGTGGTCTGAAAATAGATCTTCCAGCTTTGCCTTTGTTCCATTTCCCCTTCATTATAATTTCCTGTGCAATAGGCAGAGAAACCGAGCAAAACAATGTTAGTTATGCCAAAGGCAGAGGAAACTTAATAAACTGAAATAAAAAGCAGCTAAGTTCATCTCCCTTGAATTTTCTGCAGATTTTGCCACCCGTTCTCAATTGAAGGTAACACTTAAGTTTCAGTTGTTAATTCAAATTGGAGTCTTTCAAGATCTTTGTTTTAAGACTGAAATTATGTAGTTCAGTGATATTCAGTGCCTTGAGAGCTACATGTGGGTTAGCCCTTTGACATGCCACCTGTGGCTCTTCTCAGCACCATTCCCCAAAGTGGCACCTGCCCCATGTTTCAGGGAAGCAGGCCAGGCCTTTGCCTGGTGGGGCTTGTGGCTGGCAGTTGGTTCCCACCTTAAAGCAGCTGTTGTCAGAAAAACAGGGAAGTGTGAGCCTCCCTGAGGTGCAGGCCTTATGCCAGGGCTGGAAGTAAATGTGGCTCTTTTTATTGTTGGTAATTGTCACTGTGGCTGTGTGGGAGCCTTGGCGTGAGCACCAGGTGTTTTTTTGTGTGTGATTGTTTTATTAACTAGCTTCTTTGTCAATGAACTGAACAGGAGCTGCCTAGATTAGTATCTAAAACACATCTTTGTTACATTGGCATCACCTGCTCACTTAATGAAATATTTTACAATGTAAATATTATCTTGCAATGCAAATAATAGGAAACTTTTTGCTGATTTACTAAGGACATTAAACTATAATTGAACTTCACCTATAATTTTGATTAGATTTTTGTTTCCTGTGAGACGCTTTGGGAGTTAATTGGGCTGAAAAGTGAGATACAAATATTAAATAAAGAAGTAGTTCAAGATCAGCAAGAAGAGAATGTTGTTTTTAACTTTTCAAGATAGACAGGTGTGTCCAAACGATGAATCCTCCATTCTTGTTTCAGCGGATAAAGCAGTTTCCACAGAGCAGGGGATGTGCTTTCGTTCAGCAGTAGCAGGAGTCTGTGACCTTCCACTTAATCAGCGAATCACTAAACAGATTTGTTGTTGCAGTCGTGTTGGCAAAGGATGGGGAGGAAACTGCGAGAAGTGCCCATTGCCTGGCTCTGGTAAGAATTCTGTTTGTTCTTTGGGACCCAGTTTTTTCCATTATGTCTAATTATTTTAATGTCAGATTCAGGTGGGGCAGCCATGTTGGTCTGAAGCAGCAGAACAAAATTTGAGTCCAGTGGCACCTTTAAGACCAACAAAGACTGTGGTCAGATGTGCCACTTAGCGCAGTTGGGAAGTGGAACTTCACCTATAATTTTGATTAGATTTTTGTTTCCTGTGAGACGCTTTGGGAGTTAATTGGGCTGAAAAGTGAGATACAGATATTAAATAAAGAAGTAGTTCAAGATCAGCAAGAAGAGAATTTTGTTTTTAACTTTTCAAGATAGACAGGTGTGTCCAAACGATGAATCCTCCATTCTTGTTTCAGCGGATAAAGCAGTTTCCACAGAGCAGGGGATGTGCTTTCGTTCAGCAGTAGCAGGAGTCTGTGACCTTCCACTTAATCAGCGAATCACTAAACAGATTTGTTGTTGCAGTCGTGTTGGCAAAGGATGGGGAGGAAACTGCGAGAAGTGCCCATTGCCTGGCTCTGGTAAGAATTCTGTTTGTACTTTGGGACCCAGTTTTTTCCATTATGTCTGGTTATTTTAATGTTAAATTCAGGTGGGGCAGCCATGTTGGTCTGAAGCAGCAGAACAAAATTTGAGTCCAGTGGCACCTTTAAGACCAACAAAGGCTGTGGTCAGACATGCCATTTTGCGCAGTTGGGAAGTGCTCCTAATTTCATCAGTTGTTATTTGACACGGAGATGTTTGATCAGACATCCCAGCATAATCTGTTTTGCTGCAGGCTCAGCCCGTCACTGAACAATCAGGCAGCGTGGTTGGGCAAGGCCCCCCCCCGGGTCTTTTGCACATGCACATAACTGAGGAATCAAACCCCTGCGTGGACATGTCTCTATGCAGGATTTTGTGCATGCGCTTTTCTACTTCCTAGAGTCAAGTCTCCGTTTTGACAGCTTGCCGATCCTTCTGCGGAGCACTTTGATCTCTTTGGTTCACAGTGAGCCACAGTCACCTGACGGAGATCACTCCCTTTCCCACTCATTTTCAGATGTAGCCTGGAGATGGAGACAATTGTGTGGTTATGTGCATATTGTCAAGTGAACAAAAAAAATGACACCAAGTTGGGATGGAATGAGCAGACCATCTCAACAGCTTGAGAGTATACTTGAGTGATCAGACTAGGGGAAATCCGTCCGTGGCCCATTGGCAACTGTTAGGACCAGACTTTCCCCAGCGTCTTTTAACTTCGATTCAGGTGTGGGCCAGAACAGGGTGCCAATGGCTGTGGAATCTTTCATAGATGTTGCTGTCTGAATGTTCACTTTAGATCCATCAGACATCAGCATCTACATTGGATCTAAATGCACTTCTGATCGCAGCCAAAGTTTTATTCACGGTATAAACTTTTGTGGTCAAGCACACTTCATCAGATATTTTAATATTGTGATTCCTTTAATTCTTCTATTTTCTTCACCAGACACCAATGTAAACTCTTTAGATCCTCTGCCAGTCCCTTGGTTTTAAGAAGCCTAATAATTCCCATGTTATGGATTATACAGTTTGGATCTAGCTTCCCCTTGCCCAGGTGTAGTAATCTGATGTGCATTTGGGTTCTCCTAAATTCCTACATGTGCTGTGTCAGATTCAGATTGGAGCAACAGCATTTCCTCTCTTGTTATGCTGTTTTTCTGACCTCGGCAGTATTTGACCCATCTAGGGCCTAACTACACAAGACTGCTATACCATTTTGACAGGGACCAGATTCAGCTCAAGACCACAGGGCAGTGAGAGGAGGGGCTCCTGCCTTCCCCTCCATGTAATTTTCCTGAGCTGAAACAGCCCTCAGGGGAGAGTAATTTACACTGTTTTGGACCTGCGTGTGCATGGAATATTGCATGTGCAGCTCCAAAAGGCAGCAAATAAATTGCATTACCACGGTTGCTTCTAGAATTGAGACAAGCTCTGCCTATCCTTTTTCTCAGAGCTAGCATTTGAATCCTAGAATCCCTGAGATGAATAAAGAATTGTAGCAGAAACATAATTTTTAGCACAGAAATAGGGTTGCCAGCCCCCCCCCCCGAGTCCCCAGTGGGAGGACTTTAGGGAATGTTCTGGGGGGGGGGGCAGGGACAGCCCCAACATTATGATGTCATACAGAAGTGACTTCATCATGTTGGGAATTGGCACCTGCGCTCCAAGCTGCGAATACGCAGCTTGGATTGCAGGTGCGCATCCCCCTTTCTTCCCCAAAGCATTTAAAAGATCCCTTTAAATACTTAGGGGAAGAAGTGGGGGCCAGTGCATGCCTGCACTCCAAGCTGCGAATTCACAGGCATGTGGAGTGCAGGCACACCATGGCCCCCAACTTCTTCTCAAAAGCACTTAGAGGGATGTGGGCCATGTGCTCCCCATCAATCAGCTGAAGGGCCTTTTAAATGTTGTAGGAGGGGAGGCAGAGGAGTAGCTGTCAACGGTCAGGCTTGGGGGCAGGGCTTGGGGCAGGGCTTCTCTCCATCAGCCAGTTGGCCGGTGGCAGATTGGAGCCCTCAAAACGGGGGTAACCCCTGCCAGGACCTGGGGTATGGCAACCCTCAATAGAAGCCATCCTAATCTCCCTTATAAATAAAAGCCGAATGGTGGTGGCACTTCTCTAGAACATTCCACACGCTCCAAAATCAGTTCGCTCTCTGATCTGTCATTCAGAGGGTCTCCCTATCCACTGGCTGCTTTGCCTGAGTCCTGCCTCCAACATTCTAAACATTTTGCTGTTCCTCTCCCTCCCATAGCCAGTCAGAACACAGAGGTTATTTGCATATGCAGCCTCATTGGCCTCTGCCTCGGAACACAGAGGTCATTTACATATGCGACTTGATTGGTTTTTGCCTTTAACATTCTAAACAGTTTTGCTGTTCTGAGGTAAAATGTGTCCAATCTCCAGGTGAGGGCTGGAGATCACTCAGAATTACAACTGCTTTCCGGGTGGCAGAGATCAGTTCCCCTGGAGAAAATGGTGGGCTCTGTATCCTTATATGCTGCTGAGGTGGCCCCCATATGACAGCCAATGTGACGTAGCAGTCAGGGCTTCAGAGCATGGGAGAGGCTGCAGGTGTGTGGGGGGTGGAAAGCTGAAGAGTGAGGGGGAAATAAAGGTAGGTTGATGATTGGCTGGGAAGGAGATAGGGTTGCCAACTCCAGGTGGGAAGTTCCTGGAGATGTGAGGGATGGAGCCTGGAGAGGGTGAGGTTTCAGGAAGTATGGGACCTTGGACAGGTACAAAGCCATAGACTCCACCCTCCAAACCAACTATTCCCTTCTGGGGAACCATCGTTGCCAATCTCCAGGTGAGGGCTGGAGATCACTCAAAATTACAACTGTTCTTTAGGTAGCAGAGATCAGTTCCTCTGGAGAAAATGGTGGACTCAGTGTCATTATAACCTGCTGAGGGCGCCACAGCAAATTGACACTGAGTGTCCAAGGCCGGGGCACCCGCCCAGAGCCTCTTTCTAGAGGCCATTGTATTTATTTCCACAACGGACCTTTTTCCTAGTATTATATATTTATTAATCACTTTAGATTTGTATCCCGCCTAGCCGCGTCAAACTGGCTCAAGGCGGCGATAATATAGTGCTAGGGTTGCCAGGTCCCAATGGCATGCTGGTGGAGGAATGAGAGGGACTTTCTAGGAGTGAGGAGGAGCACTGCAACATGTCTACATCACATGGAAGTGATGTTGGCATGTCAGGGGTGACATTCTCATTTTTGAGCAAAAGTGTATGCGGATGTCATGCGGAAGTGATCAACCTCAAATCATAGAGTTATGCCCAAAAACCAGACCGTCTGCCCCCCCCCCATGTCACTGACATTCCTATCTCACTTCTGGGTGAGATGGGCACATCATGCGACTTTGCTGTTGGGGGGGAATTTCCTCCCGCTGGCCTAGGGCTGCCAGGTCTCATCAACGCACTGGCAAGGGGTGGGAGGGAGCCTTCCAGGAGGGCAGCAGGTCTCCACAATGTGATGATGTCATGCGGAAGTGATGTCATTATACCGGGGACGTCATGTTGCAACGCTCTTGTTTGAGGGCAAAACTCTGTGGTAAGATTGCCCTCAAGCCATAGAGTTTTGCCCAAAAAACAGAGCATCACCATGCAACGTCCCTGATACAATGACATCACTTGCCTGGCAATGTTGCTGTTTGGGGGCAGGTTTCCCCCGCTGGCCAGCTTGCTAGTGGTGGGCAGGAGCCCACAAAACCGGGCAACCCCCCACCCCCAACTGGGTAATGCTGTCCAAGAGGAAAATTTGTCTGTTTCCTTGTTTCTAACCTGTTAATACAAAGTCTTTATTCTTTCTACAATAGCAGCCAGCAAGGGCTTAGGCCATAGGAATCGTTTTAGAATTTCTTGTTATATAATTTAAGGGTGGGAAAATGAAAATCTAAGAGGAATGTGCATATTTACATGTGGGATAATTAACTTTGCAAAAGGCCCTTTCAGATGTGAGCAACAGCTACACTGCCAAAGCATGAAAAGGTTGCTTGGGCTTGCAGCAGTATGGCTATTTGTTTGACCCTTGACTCTTTTGCAGCCTGAATGGGCAGCGTTATATCCCTTTGGCCTTCTCTGTCTTGTAGCTCTTTGAGAGAGGAATGAATGGCTAAGTGGGAGTTTCCCTGTGGTTTTATTTTCTTGTCAGCTCTAAGGCAAGGAACAGATGCAGTTTCTAATGTCTGCTAACACTAGATTAGATCTACTAACAACACAGCAAGCCTTGCAAACATGTTTTGTTTTGTTGCTCGAAACTTCCCATCTTCAGTTATGGCTCCAAGTGGGCATAGTCTATACATGTTCTACCCGTATCGGAGAAATATATTTAAATTGTGGAAGATACTTAATACACTAAAGGAGAAATGTGTTCCAACATTTCTTACCCAGTGGGTGAAAAAAATTGCTTCCCCTACTGAAAGAGATTTGCAGAAATATTTGTGTGCCCTCAGCTATTTCCTTCTATTTGTGGTTTCATCTTTTTTTGTATCTTCAAATTTATATCTCACCATCTTACTTTATTGCAGAAGCCTTTAAGGAGATTTGCCCTGCAGGGCATGGCTACACCTATTCCAGCTCTGACATACGAATGTCCATGAGAAAGGCAGAAGCAGATGAACTTCCACTCAGTTCAGAGGAGCAGGGGGGGAAAAGCGACAGGGCTCCTGACTGGATAACAAGAAAGCAGCAACTGCAGGAGGTCTTGAATGGTGCTGTCACTGACACACTATCCCAGACTGACCTCTCAGCTGGAAAGGGTAAAGTAACATTTGTATGGATCCACCTGGAGTGAATAAATTCTTATTTATTTATTTAGATATTTATACCATGCTTTTCTCCCCACTGGGGTCCCAAAGCAGCTTACAACATAGTTCTCAACTCTTCCATTTTATCCTTACAACTGCAACCCTGTGAGATAATTATAGTTACTGGGAGAGAATGACTGGTCCAATGTCACCCAGTGAGCTTCCATGGCAGAATGTGGATTCAGACCTAGGACTCCCAGATACTAGCCTGATATTACATTACATTACATTACACATTTGACTTATATACTGCTCCTTCCGGGAGGCTCGGAGCGGTTTACATAGACATTTAAATTACCTAACTAGGGCCACAGTGCAAGGGGAGGGGTGAGTGCCTACCAGGCACCTAAGCAGCCGTGATCTTCTTCTTACGTTGTTCTTTCCGTGGCGGGGTCTTGCTGTATTCAGGCGACGGTGTCTCGGCGGAGGTCTTCTCTCTCTCACATCGACTCCTTCTGGGGTGGTCCTTACGGTGCGTGGCGGCACGATGGCTGCAACTGCTGGTCTCCATCCCGCATGCCATGCCTGCTCTCTAATTCAAAGTGTTTTGCAGAGTTGCTGAATTCCCACAAGACTTTCTGATTTTTAGCCAAAGAGTACATTAAGACTACTTTGTGTGGTTCATCTTTTTCCCCCCTTCAGTATACTGATAACACTGGGCACTGCCATTTTTAATTATCTTATGGATTTTAAGTTGAATATTGTAATATGTTTTTAATATTGTAAATCTGCATTAACTGCAGATACATATATGCTGTTACCCACCCTGAGCCTACAATGTGGGGAGGGTGGGCTATAAGTCTAATGAAATAAATAAATAAATAAATTTTATTATTTATTTCATTCGATTTCTTAATCACCCTTCCCCGCTTGTGTGGGGCTCAGGGCAGTTTACAACAACATAAAATCCAAAACAATTTTAAAACCAGTTAAAACTACAGAATTCAGTATTAAAACATTCATTTTAGTTTTACTTCTTCTACTGAATTTCTCTAATACCTTTTAATATGTTTCCAAAGGAGTTTACAGTTTTAAACTAAAATAACAATATCATAAAAACAGTTAAAAAATGAAAACTGAAGAATAACAAAATAGCTCAGCAGGGGGGGAACCTTCTGAAAAGAAGTTTAGTTCCCCAAAGGAAAAAGAAATGTCTTTACTAGCTGTGAAAAGATGACTCACAGTACAATTCTGTGCACAGTTGCACCAGTCTAAATCCATTCAAGTCAATGGGCATCGACTGAAATAAGTCTGCATAGGATTATAAAAGTAAAAGGTAAAGGCTTCCCTTGCTTGAAAGCCAGTTGAATCCGACTCTAGAAGAAGAAGAAGAGATTGGATTTATACCCCGCCCTTCACTTGGAGTCTCAGAGTGGCTTACAAACTCCTTTCCCTTCCCCTCCCCACAACAGACACCCTGTGAGGTGGGTGGGGTTGAGAGAACTCTGACACAAACTGCTCTTTTTCAAGGACGGCTGTGCCAGAGCTTGTGACTGACCCAAGGTCACATCAGCAGGTGCAAGTGGAGGAGTGGGGAATCAAACCCGGTTCTCCCAGATTAGAGTCCGCACACTTAACCACTACACCAGACTGGTTCTCTCTAGGGGGCAGTGCTCATCTCTGTTTGGAAGCCGAAGAGCCAGCACTGTCCGAAGATGTTTTCATGGTCATGTGGCCAACATGACTAAATGTTGAGGCACACGGAATGCAATACCACTGAAGCAATACCTATTTATCTACTTGCAATTCCTTGCTTTTGAACAGCTAGGTTGGCAGGAGCTGGGGCCAAAGATGGGAGCTCACTCCGTCATGCAGCACACTCGGGTCTCAAACTGTCGAGCGACCAGACAATGGCTTGGATCTTGCCTAGAATTTTCCTAGGCACAGGGAGAGTGTCAGTTTTCACTGATTTTCCCCCAAGCTATTTCTGGGGGGCCCCATCACCCAGGAGCAACATTTGGGTGGACATTTTGGGTTGCCGTGGAAAGGGAAAATCAGCAAAAATCACTCCTCACTGCACTCATGGAAATTCTAGGTGGGATCCAAGCCAATATTACAGGGCAGTGCTACATATCTGGGATTATCCATGCATGTGTGTTGTGCACATAGAATGCAGGCACAATCATATCCATATTGAGGCCGCCATTTGCCTGATGGCCTTGTAAGTCCTCTTCTTTTAAGTCCTGCCATTTTCAGTGTGTTAACAATAATGCTTGTCACATTTACAGAACAGTCTGTTTATTTTATTTTAATAACCCCTTCAACAGCTCTGTAAGGTAGGTGGCAAGAAGGAATCCCATGACACCTTTGAGGAAGTGTGGGAAAATAAACTAATATTAATATTACCATATTTTAGTTGGGAGGCTGATGTCAAGACAACTGAGGTCCCGAAGGCCACCAAGCAAGCTCAAGTCTTGAGGGATGATTGTATTGGCTTATGCCATGGGAGAGACCCCTCAGTGGGAAAATGTGACATAGCATTTGGGTAAATCTAGTAGAGGCTTTGGGACTGAATTTCAAACGGCCCCCCCCCCCCCCAATTCTTGTTGCCACCGTGGGACCAGGACAGACTCCTGAAGAAGTAGCCTCTGATCCTTGGATCTGAGTAGCAGCATAGCCATGGGAGAGCCATACTTGCTGCCACTGCTGAGGACAATAAGCTCCAGAGGCAAAGCCTCTTTAGCTTGTCCTGGTAGCACATGGGCAGCAAGGATGGGAGAAGTAGGGTTGCCAGGCCCCCTCATTGCTCCGGCAGGGAGATTGGGGGGCATTCTGGGGGTGGGTGGGGATGCCTAACCTGCCCCCAAGAGCAACCACCTGCCTGGCCACCCCTCTCCCTCCCCTCCTGCCCAATTTAAAGGTCTTCAGCTGATCGGCGGGGACCACATAGCCTGTCAATCAGCTGGAAATCCAGCAATTCTGCGTAGTCCAAAGCAGAGTTGCACCCTTATAGGACTTCACAGACAGTGAAGACTGTTAACTCTGCTTGGTACTGCACTCCAATGGTTAATTAATGCAAAAATCAAAATATGGATATGGAATCCTTTAAGAACTGCTGGATGAAGCTTGAGCTAAGTGAGAGTATCAATTATAACACCAGTGAAACCCCGGGACACATCTCTTCAACGTTACAAATTCTCACTTTGAACCTCTTTCGTGTTTTATTAGTATGATAAAATAATAAATTCTTCAATGGAAATATGTTGTTGCCTTGCTGTTGAGGTAGCTTGTCATCAGAAGTATAGATTCTAACATGACTTGAAAGACTCTGTCAACAGTAGATTCAGAAAAATAGTAACTGTTTTGTAACCAAAAAGGTAGAACTTCAGGTGGTAAGGGGTGAATTATTTTAACTGCCTTTTTAAAGCACCTTATGTCATTCCATAACTAATGGATACAGGCTTTTTACACTGCTGTCAATAAATATTCCAGAGAATTCCCAAAGGCCCTCTAGAAGTGCAGGGAAAGTAAAAATTGAGGTTATCTTCAAAGTAGCCTTTGCTAAAGAGGGTCTGTCTAGTATGTTTTATTTCCCTGACATTTTTAAATAAATATTTTGTCAAAGTAACACTAACAACGAAATAAGGTTGCTGGACTTGTCTCCTCTCCCCACCCCACCACCAGCCACCAATATTGATGACCAGAAAATGTCTTTAGTCAGTCATCATTTTGAAGTGTGTGTGAGCAGGTCTACAGCCATAACTTTTAACAAAAATATTAATAGAAGTTTTCTGGCCATCGGTATTAAGCAGGTCCATCTGCGTTTTTAATTGAGAAAGAATGTATACTGAATCATATTGGGGGGTGGGGATGGAGAAGGGATGCTATTTTCTTATCCAACTGTTGTTTCTTTTCCTGTACTTTTTTTTGCAGCTGTTCGATCCTAGGGATGAGCAGACTCCTTACCATTTTGGTTAGGATTTGTTCTGTCTTGAATTTTGTGCCCCGATGATGTTCTGTTAAATTTCACAGAACTTTGAAGAGTACAACCTAATGAAAGAATGCTGTTCACCGTTTCCCTGGGAAGAAAGCAGTCCCAGGGATCCTGGGGAAAATGTGCCCATGGATTGGCAACAACAGCTGCAAAATAACTGGTCTCTTTAAAACTCGCTCTGTGTACTAGAAAATGAAAACATTAAAAATTATATATTTCGGTGCACAAAAAGCTAATTTTGAACTTCAAAGAGATTTCTATTCATGCTTTTGTTTCTCTGTTGCAGAAGTGCACAATTCCATTCTTCTGTATTGTAGAGAAAAACTGCTTTGATATTCTAGGGAAAATACTTCAGAATTAGCCCATTGTGTACTGAAAAATTAAAAGTATGAAGTCAAATACAAAGGAAATAGAAGAGCAGCTTTGAAGGGGATTGTTTCTGTTGTCTCTCCATGCAACAGAACAGGTATACTTTCCCTGGGATCCTTGAATCTCACGGTCACAGAAGTTCACATCTATAGGTCCTCACAGAATATTTTCCTGTGGAGATCAAGGTCACTGAAGACAGTAGGGGGGAAATGAGGGATAAATAAAAAATGCAAATCCTTTCTGAGCTGCACATCAGATCTTCCATAGTTTGATCCGAAGAGTAGTCTGTGAGGGAAGGATCAAGATTTGATCATGAAATCTTCCCCTATTGGATTTCCTAGTCATCCCTATTTAATTCATCTTCCTGTCCAAAATCTGTTGTGCAAGTCCTTCTGCCAACTGATCATCATTAACCAGGCTTTTTGCTCCTTTCCTCTGGCTCCCCAGTGCTCTAGTATGGAATCATTTGCTGATGATTCATCAATGGGTGCTAACTGTTAGAGGAGGGCCTAGAGCTATTACCGGTAAATATTCTCAAGAGCTTGAAACTAACCCTTCCTAGCTGAAAGGAGGGGACAGGTATGTGCATGTGAGGTGGGGGAAATCAGTTTGCATCTTGCCAAAAATCTCAATGGATGGAAGGATTTTCATCAGTGAAATGAGACTTCCTTGCCTCCCCCCTCCTGCTCAAGCCAATACCCCCAAAATGCTACTCCTTGGGGACAGGGAACCACCAGGAGCAGCATGAGGAGGGAGTTGGAAGTCTGCACTAAAAGGAGGAAATCCCTGCCCTTTGCATCAGCAGCAATTCTCTGCAGGATCCAACACATCATCATGTTTGAATCTGGGACAGGCAGAGAGAAAAGCAGAAAGGGAAAACTGTAAGTTCACTAAAGCACCTTAGGTATAGGATCTCTTTCTTTCTCTAGTGATCTGACATGGAATAGCAGATCTGCTGCCCTCTAGGAGTGCTTGCTTACTTCCAGCTATGCTATGTGTGTATTTGCAAGTATTACAAAAAATGCCACGAGTTTTCAGTGCCCTGTCATCCAAAAGGGACCAATTAATGTAGCAATGTTACTGGAACTTCTCATGGCTCAGGGATGTGGGGAGCATGTAACAATGCAATATACTTAACAGGGCATCACTGAAGAAGAAAGTTCTTTCCACTGGGAAAATTTCCACTTGGCTTTGTGAATCCTGCATGGTCTGCGTACAGTCAATGATTGTATTTGTATTTCGCAGGACACAGATGATGTTACCCAAGAACCTGACAGTGACCCAGGTAAATGCAGAGTAAATTGTTGGATCTGGCATCAGTAAATATACAAGGATGAGGGTGTTGCCATGCCATGCCAATGATCTTGCTGCTGGGGAGAATGCAAAATCTGTTCTCCCTTTCTAGAGGAATACATTCTGTTTTTACAACATAGGTTCTGCTGGCAGAAGAGCAGGGCAGCAATGGAATCCACTGGTCCTGGAAATGCTGTCTCCTCCATCGAATACTGTGCAGAAAGGACTGCATTCTCTTAATTGAGCTGAGGAAGTCAGCTTTCCATTACTGCATAAATTCTTTCTTTTAGTTTTGTGTGGTATAAGAATGCCAAACAATGAACAACGGGGAAAAGGTGGTCACCCTATTACACAAAATAATATAGAGCTGACTAAAAATTACTGTGTATAAGGATCCTTGAAATAAAGATGCATAACACCAACTCCAGTACACGTGATGGTGTACAAATGCCGTCACAAAATAATATAGAGCTGACTAAAAATTGCTGTGTATAAAGATCCTTGAAATAAAGATGCATAACACCATCTCCAGTACACGTGATAGTGTACAAATGCTGCCAATGGGTCAAATTGCTAGGATTTATTCCATAGAGAAAATAAACTTGTAAAATTCCAGTGCACAAATCAATGACCACATACAATAAGAAAATGCTCAATACTATATTTTAGTATAAGTAAGAAAATAATTAGGAGTATCATATATATTCTCAATACATTATTAGGAGTGATTACCAGAGTGATCATGTTTTCATATTGTTATGTGTAGTTGTGCATTTTTGTTAGAATTGTAAATTGAGAATAGTTATAAATAATGTCAATATTGGACATAAAAAGTAGCTTGTGTGCAACCATCTGCAGACTTTGCAGAGTGGATTTTTCCTGGTTCCCCATCCTGCTGCAGCCCACTGAACCCCCCTTCTCAGAAATTTGTTCCGGGGGGGTTTCAGTGTATGGATTTTCAGCAACAGTATAGGGAGCAAAGTGGGGATCTGCAGTGGGAGGGGGGAGCTGGCAACAACCTCCAGACTCTCTTCTGCAAATGGAAATGCCATTCAATTGGAGGAACTGATGTATTGATAATATGTGTGTCACAGAGAGTTTTCTCATTGTGTGCTATCAACAATTATGTATTGGGTTAGGTTGTATTCATGCTTCTTCACCATAGTAATGTATTTATAAATAGACATTTTAACTGATCACTGTGTTTATAACATATAGTGTAATAAGCATTCTGTACACCCGGTGTGCTTCAGAAGTTGGCTAGGGTGTTATGCTTCTATTCTCCATCACAGTAAATATGCTCACCAAAAAGATTTGATAAATTAATTAGACATTAATAGGACAATTTAATGGCAAACATGTCTCCAGACCCTTAGATACTTCCCCTTGCTATTTACTCTGTATTGTGAAGTTAGAGGAGTGTAATATATTGTGATATCAGCATTATACAGGCTTATTCTGTGTGATGTAGCGGTTGAAGTGTCAGGCTAGGATCTGGGAGTTTGAATCCCCGCACTGCCTTGGAGGCTTGCTTGGTTGACCTTGAGCCAGTCACATTCTCTGAGCTAAGAAACGCCAGGCTGCCTGGCACCCCTGAGAGCTTTGGAGGTGGGCCAAAGTTCAGATGTGACATTGTGCTACATGTTGACATCAAATGTGGGCTGAACATCAGCCAACAGTCTGGAAACTGTCCAGAGTGTTGGCTGACATCACAAGCTGGTTTTCACCCAGACATAACCTCGACACAGCACAGTGTCATTTCCACCCCAAACTGTTCTCCTGTTGGCCCCAAAGGGAAAGGCAGGTGAGAGAGCCCAGCAGAAGAAGAATGTCCACCCAAACTGGGGAAATAACTTGCTGTCTCTCAGCCAAACTTACTTCACAGGGTTGCTGTGAAGATAAAATGGAGGAGAGGAAAGCAATGTAAGCCATCTCAACAAAGGAGAAATGCAAGATATAATAAATAAATCACTCTGAAGATGAGAATAAGATGATGATGATGATGATGATGATGATGATGATGATGATGATGATGATGATGATGATGATGATTTCATTTCTATACCGATCATAGCCGAAGCTCTCTGGGTGGTTTACAACAAATATACAAACAATAAAATACAATAGATAGAAATGTTAAGAATTAAGCATTAATCTAAGATAACATAATAGGCCTGAGCCAAAAAGACCTGACCTAAAGTGAAGGAAAGCACTTGGCTAATCATATCAGGCCCGTGCATGACCAGGGAATTCTTTAAAGACCTGCGCAAAGAGGGTTGTCTTAACCTGGCACCAAAAAGATGGCAAATTTGGTGCCTGGTGGGCTGCAGCAAGGAGGTTGTTCAAAAGTCGGGGGGGGGGGCTCACATAGGATTGTAGCCTTCATGATACTGGGCAGTAACAATCTCTTTTATCCCTTACAGTCTATATGGTAGAAGTTTCTCCTCATTCTCCTGCCCAGCCATTTCCAGGAGTTGTAGGGGAGGATGCTGCTCCAGTAGATGAAGCAACACTGTTTCCAGGTATGCCAGCCAGCCTCTGTCTTTTTGTTGTTCCTAGAATGGCAGACTTGGAAGGCATTAGCAGGCCTTCGTCTCTGTCCAAAGGCAGGAGAATCCATTGACAAGTCACTCTACAGATCAACTCTTACAAGCCAGAAGATCCCAGCATGTCACAAACAGAGTAGATGCGGCACTCCAGATTATACTTTGAGTCCAAGGGGACAAGACGAGATATGAATATTTTAAATACATAATTCTTAAAAATGAATCACTCATATAAAGGAACACAGATATGTGTTGCACAAGAAGTTACTGATCTTCAGTAAAATCAAATGTAGCAATCTCTGGTTTTAAGGCATTTTTTTAATTTCAAAGAAAATTTACATTGGCTAGCGTATACATTCTATTCTAAAATGTCTTCTGCTTTCTATTCCATGCTGACAATACTCACAAACAATACTGTTGACTAATACTAATGGTTGTTGTTGTGTATTAATGTTGCTTTGAAAATACTTGTCATCTTGCCGTGCTGCCTTTTCTGTCCTGATCTGAGAGAATGCCATAAACATTTTTGCCAGATCCCCATAGAGCAGTGGTCTTCAACCTTTTTGGTATGGTGACCCACAAGTCCAAATTTACTTGTTAAGGTGGCCCACTTTAAAAAAATCCAGAGCATTTCGAGCTTCCAGTTTTGGCAACTCACGGGTCAGACGTGTCCCATCGAGCTCTGATGGGGACACGCTAAGACACGGCATACAGGAGAGGTCCCGGATGGGTCCGGGGGCCCCCAGAGTCCTTGTAGGGGACTTCTGGCCTGGAGTGGCGCCGCCCACCCCCCCAGAGTCCTTTTAGGGGACTTCTGGCCTGGAGTGCTGAGGAGAGCCCCTTCCGAGGCGATGGCTGAGGAATTGGGGCTCTCCTTACTCTGAGAGGTCTTGCTGCCGTGAAGCCGTCATGGCGACTAGAGCTGGCTACCGGAGGAAGCAGACAATCGATCCAGCGTGAATGATCTCCTACAGTAACTTAAAGGCAATACAACTGTGAGTTAACCGATCCCCTCTACAAGCAGCTGAGTCTTTAAGGTAAACGGCAGCAATTCATGAGATAAGCGGCAGGCGGGGGAGGAGTTGGGGATTCCCCCCCCCTAAATTAAATAGTTCCTGAATGATAAACTGAGAGGAAAAAAGTGAAACTGACCGTGAGAGACAGCAAGCGAGACTAAAAGGTGCAAAATAGTCCAAAGCGTTTTTAAATCTGAAAACTTTCATTTTAACTTTAAAAACTTTCTCCTTGTGTAAACAATGTCTGGTAGAGGGAGAAGAATGGCACCGGAAAAGAAGCCTCTCACAGGAAATAATCAACCAACAACTCCCTCCCAGACACAGGAAGCAGCTGCTGACTTTCCTAATATGCTGGCACTGGCATTGCGCCCTCTGCTGGAGCAGATGTCAAATATCAACAACAAGCTGGATGGAGTCCAAAAGTAATTGACACGGATGGATAAAAGAGCAGATGATACTGAAAAAGCCATTAAGAAATTTGAGACAAAAACAAAAGATATTAAACAAAAACTGGAAGAAGTGGAAAAAGAGAGAATCTCAGATAAAGGTCAACTGTTGCAGCTTCAAATGGAAAGATCAATGTATGTCTTGCGCTTTCAAGGCATTCCAGAACATAAAGGAGAAAATTTAAAAGGACTTTTAAGCGAAGCATTAGCACCAATGACAGAACTTAAACGAGATGTACTGCAAAACGATATGGATCTGACTTATCAGACCTACTCAGATTTCAT